GTGCGGTGCCTTGGTTGGAAGCAGGCCCTCACCGTGGGTAGCTGAAGTCTGTTTGGACGATCTCACTGGGGTTATTGAATTCTCCCCCGCCATTCCTCCCCTCCCTCCCCCCCATGTCTCCCTCCACTTCCATCGGCCAGGGAATAATGGCTAGCAAGTCGTGGGAGACCCAATTTTTTTCTTTGGTGCCTTTTCTCCCCACCACCACCGCCCACCGCCCCCCCACCCCAAACGTGCACGAAGACAAACGTTGCACACGGCACGGAGCGGCAAGCTCCCATCCCGCTTCTTGCCGAAGTTCGCGGTGTGAGCCCGGCGGCCGTCCCAGTTAATAGTGCGGGCGCGTTGACCCACAAAATTGCACGCGCCTGCCCGCTGCTGCATTGTTGGAGGTGGCGGGGCCACGCGTGTAGTCGTCGTCGTCGTCCTCAGAATTTGCAAAAATTAGAAAATTGCTTGCGGAATTACCTGACGGTGGAGTTGCGACATTGCCCCCTGCTGTGAAACTACTGCAGAATTTTACCAGTCTGTAAAATGTAGCACCGGCGTGGTGGATTGGCCTTGTTATCACGAAGGCGCGATTGTCCGTGGGTGGATTTGGCATGCTTCACGAGAAGGGGGGGGATAAAAAGATATCTCCATGAGCAATGCTGGTTTGTGTTGTTATCAGCGGTTCCTTACCGCTCATCGAAGGTCCGCTACTCATGTGACTGCGAATTTGTTGCAGCCGGAACACCGGATACGATTATCACCAACAACCACACACTGAGTTTTCGCTCCCATTATGCAGGTGAACGATACATGCATTTTTGTAGCCTAAACAGTGTACGTTTTGTGTTGTCAGTGTGCTTATCTTTTATGCAGGCCCTCTCTCCCCCATTACCCCATTATATAATTGAGAGTTGACTGTGATTGTACTTGGAACACCAGACGCAATCGGATGGTCGTGAATTTCAATCCCAGTCGTCGGTCAAAAGGGCCCATCAACTAGTCCAGGTTCTACAAAATGAATACCACATTGTGGGAAGTCGGCAGCGGTCATCATATGGATGGACCGTCCCGTGCCTTGTAAACGTGGAATTCCCACCCTTGGCCCTGGGCTGCCAGTGTGTAGGAGCGCTGCCCAATGCCCAGTTTGAGCAGGGAGACACTTTGACTTTGTCTAAAATTGTGACCATATTGTTCTTACCAGACGGCCATTGCGCTACGAACCCTGGCCCCACTTCAGTTAAATCCCTGGCCATGGCTAACATCGACGGTGATTTTTTTATGAGCGGACTCTGCTTTAAAAAAAAAAGAAAGCACCTGGTGTAGTGGAGTGAACCACAATACTCGAAGGGAGAGACAAAGGTGGCCGGACGTGGTTCCGGCCACACCGCACCGCCCCCGTGTACCCCCCATCAGAGGTCGCAAACGGGTTTTGATTCCTTACCCGTACCCGTACCCTACCCGAAATTAGTGACAAACGGTTACTCACCGGTGACTCGCGGCCTACCCGTACCCATAGCCGGCCGCACCAGGGTCGCAAACGGGTACCCGGCCGGGTACGGGTAGCCGGGTATCGGGTAGGGTACGGGTATCGGGTACCCTACCCGAAATTAGTGACAAACGGTTACTCACCGGTGACTCACGGCCTACCCGTACCCGTACCCGGCCGCACCAGGGTCGCAAACGGGTACCCGTACCCGGCCGGGTACGGGTAGCCGGGTATCGGGTAGGGTACGGGTATTGGGTACCCGGTTGTGACCTCTGCCCCCCATCCCACCCTTCATCGATTCTCGCCCTAAAGGCACTTGCCCCAACAGCCTGGTTTTATCTTTGCTCGCCCAAAAATGCATCTGCTGCGCAGGAACGCCATCGTGGGTGTTCACAATGAAGACGGTGATGTAATAACTCTACAGGATTTACAATAAAGCCGACCGTTTGAAGTTTATTTATCTGTGAAATTGCCACCGGCTGCAGTGTTGTTGCTGTTGGGCTCGGAGTCTCGCCGCCAGCAACTCGTTGATCCTCGAACAACTGCCAGCAAGCTTCCCCCCCCCCGATCCCAACTCTTCTCTGCCACCAATTTAGATTTCATCAACGAATGTGAAATGTTACTCTTTGGCTGCAATTAGCTCGCACTCGTCTCTTGCCACGTGATGGTAAACGAACAGGGAAATGATTGCTTCTGTGCGGATTTGCACTTGCGTTGCTGCCAACTTCTGCTAGCGTGGCGCGTTTGTTTTTGCCTCCCTCGCCTCCCTCTCCTCTCTTTCCTCGCTCCCTCGCTCCCCCGTGTTGTTTGCGATCACGAACGACGCCGCAGAGCCCCCCCAATTGCGAGCGCGTAAATTGTCGACCGAAAATCTCCCGCCCCCCCTGGCCGCAATTATCGTAATAATAACAATAGTAATGACAATTCTGGTCTTTGCAATTGTTTTGAGGGAAAATATGCAAGTTTTTAAATTGGGGGCAAGGAGGTGGGGGGGGGCGTTTTTTAAATTCTATTTGGGCTCCTTTTGTGCTGCTGTCTGAGGATGGCCAAGACGGGTGTTTGCTGTCCTCATAGTGATTTTGTCGTGCGTGCGTGTGTACACAAAAGACAAAGGCCCCCCCATATAGCCTTCAACAGACGGTTGGGGCAAGTGCTGTTAGGGAATGCCTCGTGACGGCCGGCATGGCACACGAGAGGATGTTGACCAGCACCGCTCCCGGCGCCGTGTCTCCCCCAGTGCTGATGTTTATATACCGTACAACAGGCACTCATTTTAGGTTGCGTTAACCTAGGGGAGGCTCAAGACAAGTTTCAAATATTCGCCACTGTTGTTGGTTGTGAGCGGGAATTCAACTCGGGTCACTGGGTGTACGTGCGTGTTCCTGCGTGTTGCGGTGCTTTAGTGTTTCACACGCCTACCAATTAAATCCTGGTGATCGTAATAATATTTTCAGTTGTCAAAATGTTTGGCTTCACCTTGACGAGTACTCGGGACACACACCCCTCATTGCGCGTATCTTGTTCTCTCCCAGCGCGTGATCACGTGGGATGGTCATTGTGGGTGGTCACTGAGTTGGTCACTGATGTGGTCACTGAGGTGGTCACTGAGGGGGTCACGTGGGGTGGTCACGTGGGGCGGTTACACGCCGGTTCGCTAGTGCTGGTTGACGGTGGAGATTTGAATTTAGAAATCTTTGGGAGTACCCCAGGAGTGCTCGTGCCCGCCAGGGGCAAACACCCCGAGTCACTTCCACTCCCGCAGATTTTTTTTTTTGTTCCCCGTTTTACAAATAAAGTCCTCTTGAAAAGTAAAAAAAAAAGGTTGTCTCGTCTCTCTCAAGCCACTCTTGAACTGCCCAGGAACTGCAGTCAACTCGTGAGCAGCAGCGTGCATCGTTGGTTCAAATCAAATGATGCAATTCTATTCAAAAATAGAATTGCATCATTTGATTGTGTGGTTCGTAAATAACTTTTTGGAAATGTGATAAAATTTATACTTTTTATTTATTGCTGAAAGTTGCCGAAAGAAAACTTTAACAAAGTGTCGGACGCGATTGGTAGTTGGGGAATATTTTTTTAAAGAATGTTTTATTTTTTGACAGTGCTGTAATTATATTGTTGCTTAGCAAAATGTTTGCTTCACCTTGGCAAGCACTGGGAGACGAACACGACCCCTCATTACGCGCATCTCATTCTCTCCCAGCGCGAGTGCATTAATCTGTCACCTTTTGAGTTTTATTTATTTACTGTAAACATTAACACAAACGTGCTCCATAGGTCAGGTCACCGCGCATATTTCACGACCTTTCGGAATGTTAAAGCTTGCATGCCAGTGCCGTGCACACACAAATCTGGCAATGGAAAAAAATATTTTGTAGGCCTCGATAAATTATTCACAAGAATATGCTACTCTGTGCCTCTTGCAGATACAGTTAAGGATATTTTTTATTTAATAATTATTTTTACTTTGGGGCAGTGACATGGCCAATTGGGCATCGCTTTCGCCGCTTGTTGCGAAGGTTCGCGGTTCGATTCCGGCAGGTCGCCCTGGTTAATTTCTACCAATGGATTTTCATAAAATACGTCCGCTTCATCGTGGACATTAAATAGCCCCCCTGACATCGTTACAAACGAGTGGGCCATCGTGGGCCGATGTAGTGGTTCAAATTTGCTAAATATTACCCGCAATCTACTCACTTTGAGTTACACATTGCAACGTATTCACCTTCGCGCTGTCATCGCCTTACACTATAAAAATGTCAAGTACCAAATTTACTGAATTATTGTTATCGTTAATGCTGAAAGCCTATCTGCCAGAATAGGCATGTCATATAAGCTATCTTCTCATCCGTCGTAAGGACATCCCTTACATGATATTGCTTCTGCCTTGCTTGACATATCTAAGGTGCCCATCGCATTGCAATTCACTCTGGGCAATTGTTCACCACCCGTGAAAGTAGATACACCGTTTACTCTCGGCCTTGAATGAGTAAATGGTTCGACAATAATTTAAACTATCGCAGCTAATTTAACTACACTAACTTTAGAAGCTGAATACAAGCACCTCACTGGGAGAAAATCCCAGGTGCACTCATAATCTGAAGGAAAACTAAACTATTTTTTTATTTTATCACGTAAGGCCCACTGAGCTATATAGCTATTTTACATAAGCGACCTGCACACAAATGATCGTTCGGAGAAGTGGGCTTATCGTGTGGAAATGTATCGCAGCCAAACGCTCTAAACGCACGTTTCTAAATGTGGAGGGAAAAACTGCAGGACCCGGCGGGATCGAACCTACGACCTCCTGCATACCAGGCGGGGTAGTTAACATCTCGCCAACACAGCCACCAGGAGTGTGTTTGTATCAAAGGTTGCCTATGGCAGTCGCCCAAGTGAAGTCAGTCCGATTTTATTTTTGCTCGAACACCTGGTGACTTTCTGGAACAAATCCTGCCACCCAATGCACTAAGTGAAGGACGTGTTGCTTATATCAGAACTGTGCTGGTGTACATGCATGCAGGCACAACACGGGCACCTCGAGAAGGCGAAGTGCCCGGAGTGGACTACAACTTCATTTTGCTGGCCGAATTTCTTGCGCTGGAGAAGAGCGGCACGCTCCTGGAGACGGGCACCTACGAAGGTGCTTCGCGGCCACCCAAATTCTGCCACACGCCTCTAACCCTTGACCTGGCGAGGACCCCCGGGTAGTGGGACTGGCTCAAGTGACGTAAATTGATTTAATTGTTCGTGCGTTAATCGCGCGTCCACTCGTGTTACGGACTAAATGTGGATAGTTTCTCATTGTCGCGCCAAAAAATGCACTTTGAATACATTTTAAGAGGGGGTGGGGGGGAAAACCTCTTAAAACTTGGAGTGATAACGTTGACCCACGTGTGCGATTCTTTATATTTGCAGCTGCTGCAACAGATTGGGTTTATATAAATTTTCATGAGGACATTCTCATGATAATGAAATTAGCATTCTCCACGTTTTGGGAATTATGACGCACCGGTTTGAACAACGAATATTCTGGCATTGAACGAAATAAAAAAATATATAAACCTCAAAACGCTTGGCAAACTCACCGAGGCAGTGTTGTGCAGCGCACGTATCGGTGCAATTAATATTTAGTTTTGCTTAATCCCATCGCTCCAATTTTTTGCCTTTTTGATGTTGGCACTGAGTTGTCTGTACCTTTTACAATTCAATTTATGCGGTGAGCCTTGACCAAGTCTTTTTTGTGTTCCACACTGCAACCTGCCAACTGTTTAGTTTATGACAGTAGCACAATTAATCGTTCTTATTAGGCACGTAATCATTCGTCCATTGTAAATCTATTTTTTTGCTCCTTATCCTGGCTAGGGTGTCGCTGTAATGGCCACAGCTGCCCGTTCGTTCTCCCAGCACGGCACTTAACACTAAGCCAACTTCTTAAGTCACTGCCTGCCACCCGCACCTCCAATTTAGCACGGTTGGCTACGTACGGTGCATAAAGAATTTCTACATGTATGCATACATCCACCGACCTCCATCCGCGCAGATTTAGATAACCCGCCGCAGTCGGTCGATCAGATGAACTATACGACCGTTACCGCGTCACCCCCTCCACCCCAATTTCCGACGGATAGATAAGCACGCGGGACTGACGGACAGAGCTTGCGCGTAAATCATTGTGACCTTCGTCGAAAAGTTGCCGATCGGGCATTTAAGATTTTTTTGTTTGTTAAATTGCCCCTCCCGGTCCTCCGCCGCAGGAAATTTCTACGGGACCCCGAAGCCCCCGTCGGAGCCTCCGGCAGGCTCGCTCCCTCTGCCCGAGCCGAGGCCCGGCCTGGGCTCGCGTCGCAAGCGAACCAAGTCCGTGAGCAACATGGAGCACAGGGAGGGGAGCCACGCGGGCCGGGCAGCCGCGCTCAACGGCGGGCGCGACTCGGGTGAGCGGCGCCGACGCATTTTTCGCCGCACGTCGCAGAGGTGCCACGGTGGCGAGATGTTACCTCCGTCGCCTGGTCTACAGGAGGGTCGCGGATTCGATCCCGACCCCTGACGCCTGCTGTTGTATATTTGGAGTTTGCGTGTCTCTCGCCCCGTGGTCGCGTGGCTTTATCTCCGGATCCTCTGGTTTTTCCTTCCACATCAACGTGCATTTAGAGTTATTTGGCTGACTAAAATTGCCACGTCATAAGCCTCTTCGTTGAGCTATCATTTGTGGCCAGGTCGCTTCTGACAAAGAAGCTAATAGCGCAGCGGTCCTTGCCTGGTAAACTACAAATATTTATTGTAATTGTGATTTGCTTACCTTTCCTATCCTTTGCGCTCCAATCGCGTGTTTGTATAGTTGTAACTTTCTGACGCCGTGCCCCTACTGGACATCTCTTTACAAAGAGCTTCATAGCTCATCGGATTCCTCCAGTATAACTAAAGATTCTGATTCCCTTTCGCCTCGTTGCTCTCGTGCCACAGGCGACTCGAGCGATGGCGACGGGGCGCCCGCAACGCGCACGCAGACCACACAGGCTTCCCAGCGGCGGGGGGCGAGCGGCGAGCGGCCCCCCAAACTCCACGAGCACCCCCTGGGTTCTGCGTCGCTGGGTGGGCCCAGCTCGGAGGGCTCCAACGGCCTGGAGGTGGGAGGGGGCCACGGGGAGGAGCTGGGTCCGCTGCCCGGGAACTGGGAGATGGCGTGCACTGAGAGCGGGGAGATCTACTTCATCGAGTGAGTCCCGTGTGTCTGCGTGTTCGATGCTCCCATTCAGCCCGTTTGGCTACGTACGGTGCGAAAGGTGTTACACGTGCATACGACAAACAGCTGGCGGTCATGTTCAACCGGAACAGACGCTGTCGACGATAATATCGCACCAAGGTTGGCGATTCCACATTTCCTTCTGATCAGATTCAACGATGATAATGATCATCCAAAGTGAAGCCGTTAATCTGCCTGGCACAACCATCTCGTCTGACCTTGTCGAGGAATGGCTGTGTTACTCGCCTGTCAAAGGAGGCACCGAAGAAGGTTGTTTTTCTCTTCCATGCCGAAGCCTTTATATTGAACTTTTATTATTGTTATTATGACTACTATACGAAGCTCAAATTTCGCAAAAGTTGGAAAACTGTTGTGATATCTGGGATGGAGCCATTCCACCAAGTGTCCTTTTCGTGTTGGAGATCGGCCCACGGAAGCGGGCATCGCAGAGCGACCTTTGAGCACCCTTCAGGGGACACTGGTCCACGCAAAGTAGTAGGGGGCATCACTTTCCCACCCACTCTGCCACATGAGAGCGAGGGTGTTCGCATGAACGTCAAACCGCTAACTCTCAGAGCTGGAAATCGGCTAAATTAAGTGCAGAACCAAATTGAATGTTATAGTTTTTGTTGTTGTTTGTGCAATCAATGGAGATTTACTACAACGCAGAATAAATGCTTTCCCCAACATTATTAACAATAATAATCAGTCACGGTCTGTCCACTGCTGGATTAAGGCCTCTCCCCAAGCCATCGATTGCAACAGGCCGTCTCGCTCCTGCGTTCAAGCCAAGCGCATCGCTCCGAGTCGGAGTGCGGTGTTCACCCTTCTTGGACACGCTCCGTCGCTTGGCGAGTCGTGGATCAAACGAAACGGAAGGGGAAACCGAGAACAAAATAAACGGGCTGCGGCAATTTGTAAAATTGCGTTATGTCGTGAAGAGTGGCGTGCGAGTGTGCCTGAAGAAAACCACTTTCAGGTCATCGCACACAAAGACAAAGATCCCCCCATATAGCCTCAACAGACTGTTGGGGCAAGTGCTGGCATGGCACACGAGGGGGTGAGTGGCCAGCACCACGCCCGGCCACCTTTGTCTCCCGAGTTGCGATGTTTGCACAGCGTACCAGGTACTCATTTGACGTAATGTACTCAGATGCATTGCGGCTCTTGAAATACTGAATTTTGTACCGAATTGGAAAGAAATGGCTCTTCTTGTTATTTTGGTTGCCGACCCCTGACCTAGGGGATTCGGGGAAACAAACTCGGGTCGCCGGGTTGGTAGCGCAGCGTGCTAACCGCTACACCACCGCTCCTCATCGCACAGCACCCGCTGTGACACTGGCAGAAAATTACTTTGAACAAAGTGTCAAAAAGTGCATCAAAGAGGGCATGGGGAGTTGTGCACACTGGCATGTACGCTGATGGCGAGAAAGCGAAATGCATCGGCTTAGGTTACAGACATCGTGTCGACTCTTACGGAAGAGTGCTACGCGCTCGGGCAGCACGCAGTACTACCAGGGTTTGATGACGGGCCGATTTGATGACACTAAACTACGAACAATATTTTTTTTATTTTGCCAGGTAAGGCCCACTGAGCTATATAGCTATTTTTTTTAGAAGCGACCTGGCCGCAAATGATAGCTCAACGAAGTGGCTTATCATGTGGACATTTATAGCAGCCAAATACTCTAAACTCTAAACCGGAGGAGCAGGAGAAAAATCCATGCGAACATGCAAACTTCAATCATACAACAAGGCCTCATGTTCGGGGTTCGAATCCACGACTTCCTGGATACTAGGCGAGGGAGTTAACATCTCGCCACAACGACACGTTTATATATTTACGTGAATTAACCCAAAAAAAACCCTGCATTATGGAAGTGTGATTAATGTTAGTACTAATAAGGGTTAAGGGGATGTAGTTTTAAGCATGGTGGATAAGAGGTTAATGTTACAGTTAGAGGTAAGGGTTAAGAATTTGGTGAGTGAGTTGTTAATGTAATTTAACCAACAATTGATTTATAAGGCAATGCCCTTGTTAAACATTATTCATGGAGATGAGGCTTACAAGAACACTTAATTAGTCTCTTCATTTTAGAGAGAGAAGAAGAAGAACCCCCCCCCACCCCCCAACTAACAGCCCTGCGGCCAATTATCCTGCCGAGCATCCACTACACAGGGCAGAGGCGGTGTGTGTGTGGGGGACTGTGCTTGCTGGAGAGCATCCATAAGCAGGCACATTGCTATAAATAGTGTTTATTTTGTAAAGCGATGAATCACGGCTCCTGAGTGCTGCCAACTTATATGCGTGCAGAATGCAATTTGTCCGGCACCACGATAATGGGGAGCCCGCTGCTGTGGCGTTGTCGTTGCACGAACGCGCGAGCCCTTGCCGGTGAAGCAGCACTGACCTCAACTCCCCCCCCCCTCCGACTCCCCTCTTGAGAATGTCCCCAGAAGATGACACCGTAGAACTACTCCGGGAGTTGTCTCTGCACGGGCTTCTAATCCACAGCAGAGGTGGCCCACATTTCTATCAAGATGTGTACAGCGTGGTTTTACTTCTTCCTCATTTACAGAAAATAAGTAATTCGTTATTATTCGTCGTTGTTTCACTCGTGAACAGGCTGAGATCGCCTAACTAAACGCTTAAGAACCCGATTTTAATCGCCAGGTGACTGACATCCTGATTCGAACCCGGGAATTTCGGTGTGTCTTCGGCTTCGGTGCTAACCCCGTGGGGGAGCCACCTGGGTAACATCTCATCCAGTTATAAAAAAATCGCTTTTAATTAATCCTGGTTTAATTTTCCTTCTACGTGATTCTCCGGTGTGATTATTGCATTCCTAAGCACGTTACGCCGGAGAAAAGGGAATGCCGTTCAAGTAAAGCAGCGAGAGCAAATCTGTCTGAAAATCCAGCACCCCCCGAGTGTTTTTTTTTGTGGTGATAGTGACGGTGGTGGTGGTAGTGCTGGCTTGCTCGTACACTAGGGAAATGAAATGATGAAGAAATGAGTCGTGATGGCGTGCATTATTATTATTATTACGGGTCAATGTGGTATAAGTGACTCAAAAAAGTCGACTTGCAGAAATGTTTTCTCATTTTCATTTAAATTATTTCGTGGCTGGCTGTCGAACAAGGGAAGTGCAGAGTGCGGAGCCAAGGCGCAGGCAGTGGCGTGGATTGGAAGCATGATGACTAAGGGGGGGGGTGAAGGGGAGGGCGGATTTGGGGGGGGGGGGCAGGGGGCGCCTGGTAGGATGCCGAACGTGTGAATAATGTACGGTTTGTGTGACCGGCCGATGATGACGAATGCCTGACGCGATGGATGTTTAACGAATCGGCATTCGGGTCGCATGACCATGAAATTGTACGTCTGTTTATTTAGCAATAATTTATTCAAATTCCTTTGTTTGCTTTACCAATAATTTGTTGCTGTAAATGCTGCTCACCATGATTTCTAAGGCGTATTTTTGTGCACTTAAATGTATTACATTCTCGCCAATATAGATTGCTCCTCCATCCGCACACATCGCGTTGATCTATAGGTATATACGATATGTCATTGAAGTGGGCAGCCAAGAAATGGAATTTATCTTGAGGGGAACGTCCGTCGGGAGGAGATGGAGCGATGCTATCAGCTCGTCGTGCCCGTCGCTGTGTCGATCATTACATTGCAACGCTGTGGGGATTTTTTACCACTTGATCGGAGGGGGGGGGGGGAAGAGCCTTCATCCAGCAGCGGATTCATCATGGCCGATTAAAATAATACATCACGTCTCTTTTTTTTTTTACACCCGTTATATTTGTGACGTTATTTCCTCAAACATCTAAAAAAAATTGCAGACACGGATCAATTTGCATGCGCGCGCGCGCACACACAGGCCACGATGGTGCAGGGGTAGGCTTGTTGTTAAATAGGAACTAAACAGCCAGCCGCAGACATTTGTTATTCTTCCAAGGCAGCGGAAAAAAAAACACATCTCGCTTGACCTTGACCTTGGAAATGAGCCGCATACAAATGGAATGCGTTTGAAACTTTCCTTTTGCCTGAATTTGGTTCCCCCCCCCCCTCCCTGTCTTCTCCTACGTGGCCAATGATTCGTATGAATGTGGAGGAAGGGTTTAAGCCAGCAGCAGCAGCAGCTATGTTGCTTTAGTGCTTTGATTGCGCAGCTTGACTTGAAGCGGGCTGAAGCGCAGGCGTGCCTGCAAATTGCATACGGCAGGTTTAAAACATTGCCGGTTTATCGATCTCAATTAAATGATTCATCTATGTCCGATGGACAAGCCCTGGTCCCCTCCTGCTTCAGCCCTCCCCCTCCACCCCTCACTCCCCCCAGGGGTCTTGAGTTGGGTTCTCCACAGCTGATCGTTAATACCACCCACACAGAGGGTCTGAGGTCAGAACGTTGAGCTGGCATCCCTGAGGGGGGGGGGGGGGGGGAGGGCCTGGGTTGGAATCCAAGCGGCCGCCTCCGATTAAACCCGGGGTGCTCGAGTGTGCCGAGTTGATGGACTCGGCCTGGTCACGCATGACTACACAAGAAGCTAAATTTCGATTTAAAGCTTTCGTGACTGCAGGGATTCATCTTCTTTCTTAATTTGGAGCTTCCGTGACTGCAGGAGTAATTAATCTTCTTGGTTCTTTCGGTAAAGTCGCGTAGAATGGAAATAATAAAATAATAAAAATAAAACATAATAAAATAATTCTCACGACGTTTCGGCCACAACGCAAGCAGCCGTCCTCAGGTGAAGACCAGGTCTGTCGGGGAGACGCTGTGATGTGGCCGAAACGTCGTGAGAAATTATTTTATTACGTTTAATTTTTATTATTTTATTATTTCCATTCTACGTGACTTTACCGAAAGAACCAAGAAGATACACAAGAAGCGTCCAACGTTGCTTTGCACTGAAGTCGCCTACATTGCAGAATTTAAATGTCGGTTTCATTGTCGTGTGGCCAAACG